AGTAGCCTCCACAGGTTTAAATCCACTGTCAGTTATGTCTGGATTATTTTCATTGAGCCAATAATTAAGGCCACAAATTTGCAACTGTTACAGGATAGTTATGTTCCCTTCCAAAACCAGGGCTGATTAGCACACCCAAAGTTTTATTGTTGTACAAGTTTAGGTCAGGTTTGATTCTGGAAATACTGATTCAGCCTGTATAGAAAGCTTGGACCATTTTTGGCTTTAAACTTATTTTTTACACTCTCTCAGTATGAAGCTGTTATGTCTTCTTCAGTATACGGCAAATGAACTGAAATCCTGACCCCCCACAAAACAGCATTAGTAGTAAATACTGTATTTCCATATGAAAGCTTACTTAGATGTTTGGGAAACACTGTTGCCAAAGAGGAGGAATAAAAGTATATATATTGAGTATCTATGCATATTTGTAAATGCATGTACTTACTTGCCCAACAAAGGCATTGTGAGGGCTTTGAGATCCTTGAATAGAAGTTGCTATAGAAGTGTAAGGTACTTATTGATTTAATTCAATTAACTAACTTATGGATTTTGAAGTGAAACACATATATTGGCTCCAAGGAGAAACTGTTCACAGAATTTGCTCTGTTGAAGTTCTGTTCAGAATAAACGCTTAGCGAGTTTCAGTGATCCCTCAGCTATCACTTTCCCTATGTTTCATTGCATAATTTAATGTGATATCCTTAACAACAGAGCTACGGTTATCAATCTGTAATGAAACAGTGGCATATAAGTGAAATCTTCAGCAATACTTTTATCAGTGTTTGATCCAAAATGTAACTTTGGGGGCTGTAATTTTTCATGCCTAGTCTCTGCCCAAAGGTAAAGCCAAAATCAGGTTCATGATAGAAAAGTATTTGTAACAATAGAGCAGCTGCCACTGCAGCTCAATGCTTTTGAAAGGTTTAAGTGAAGTCTCTTCAGTCATTTCTCAGTTCTCTGAGGGTGAAAATGTATTGTGATGGTTTATCAAATACATAACGCAAAAATGTAACTATCACTCAATGAGTTTAAAATGAGATGAGATTATAATGGGATTCATTTGAACTTTTACTAAGTACTGGGTATTACTGAGTTGACATATTTGAAATACATGATGGTGGGTAATGTGATAAATATTTTCATAAATTAGAGATATTCTGTAATTTAGAGATAGCAAATTGTAGAACAAATTAGATTCACAAATGGATTATGACAGATTCTCAATGTGTGAAAATATCTCCTATCACACGTTCCTCACTCATGTATTTCGTTTATGCAACATGTTTGTTTCATTTAGCTTTTGTGCTATATAGAATGATGATGCTGTGGTTAAGGCACTAAAATGAGACTTGGGAGATCTTTATTAAATTCCAAGCTCTGCCACACACTTCCCGTGTAAACATAGGCAAGTTATTTAATCTTGCTCTGCTGCTGTTTCCTGTGCATATAGAATGATAACATTCAGAACAGGTAATTCTGTGTGAAAGGTGTTATTGTTGTAGTGATAGCAGCAAAGCAACATTTGCAACATTTCACTCATAGGCACAAATAATATTTTAATGAATTAACAGGCTAGTGTGTAAGTAAATCACTTCCCTCAGCTACAATGGGCAGGCTCCGGACTGTTCATTTAGGATAGGCCCAGTACTGCTAGCCAGTGTTTCTTATGCATGAGAATTTGGATTCTTTCCCCATCACCATAATGAAAAGAGGCCATTATCTGCAGCATGATGCAAACTCACAACTGTGAATTTGTGACAGTATTAACTGTAGACACCCCCATAACTGTCAATGGGAGTTAGACATATTCTCTGAGAGGAGATTAGGCTGCTGTAGACATAGAAGTGTCATTAGGTATACAGGTTGACACATGCCGTGTACATGTCTGTAACAGGCTATTTTTGTGCTGAGATGAGAGAGATTTGCCAATGAATGAACTTGTCCATTATGAGAAAGTAATTGGATTCTCAAATCTCTCCTTTGTGTACCTGTCATTTCAGACAAGCTTTAATTTGTCAATGCTATTTCTCCCCAATTCAGTTTCCTTTGCAGTGTACTTGCCTGAGGACTTGAAATACTAACTGCAGGATTAAGAGCGCACAGGTTACAAGCAGATCACCAGTTCTTACCATAGTGCTTCAAAAAGCTGCAAAGAATTTGTTGAGGAAGATGGGCTCAACCTCCAAAACACACAATGTCTCTGCTCCGGCCTCAGAAAGTCATGGAGTGCAGTATTTCTACCCTGAAGATGCACTTTTCAATTGTGCTGGTAACCTTTAATTCCACTGCAGTATATTTCGTCCTCTTGGGAATTTTGTAGCAGATGAATCATTGCCAGGAATGAAAGCAACTGCATTCTGCATGTCAGCTGCAAGAAAAAGTTTTTTAGTGTCTCACACTGTGAGATGGACAGGGAAGGGCAACTAAACGATTATTTATTGTGATTTGGATCCTTTAGTACAGTTTTATGGACAAAGATCGTTTCTGTATGTACAGATAAATAATATGGCTTTGCCTTCTGCTGCTGAGTCGAATGTGGTGCTTAGCTTCTGCAAGAGCCAATAAGTGAACAGGGAATGACTGAAGCCATTTACTGTAGGGTTTACTTTAAAGCCAAAGTAAATTTTCCTTTCTTTTGGGAACTACTCAATAGTATTTCTGCTGTATTTATAACTTAAAAATGTATTTGTACTATGTCTGGCATTAGCAGACAAAATAGGCTTCCAGCTTCTTGTTTACTTACCTTTTAAATTAATAAAGTCAAGTAATGATGTAAATCCCATCTATAGATTCCTTTCAGTAGCAATCTCAAAATAACTTTTTCTAAAGGATAAAACTACCTCATTCTAGCTCCCAATGTTAAAAAATAATAGGGATTCCATCCATCAAATCGGGCTAGGAAGCAGCCAAACTCAGAAAATGAATTTAAAATCTAGTATATGTATATTTTGTGCAGCATGGAAAATATTTACATAAATGGGTGATTTAAGATTCATGTAACCTGGATCAGTCTGGAAAATCTGGATTGTGAGAATCCTAATAATCACTTCTGCATAGGAGAGGAGTAATTAGCCTGCTCCCTCGTTCCTCAAAGAGAGCCCTCCAAAATGTAAAATTTTCCTGAGGAGACTGAACACAGAGTTTGGCAGGGAAAGGTAGCTGTGAAGCCATGATGAAACAAGAAGTGATCTGTCTCCTCAATGCTCAGTGTATCTACTACGATGAGCAGCAACAGCATGTGAAGGTAAACAATAGGCTACTGAAAGCTTTTAAAGGAATATTTATTGTCTTAGAATCATAGAATATCAGGGTTGGAAGGGACCTCAGGAGATCATCTAGTCCAACCCCCAGCTCAAAGCAGGACCAATCCCCAGACAGATTTTTTTACCCCAGTTCCCTAAATGGCCCCCTCAAGGATTGAACTCACAACCCTAGGTTTAGCAGGCCAATGCTCAAACCACTGAGCTATTAAAAAAATATTTCATTCTCACTTTCTGGCCATGACATTAATTCTGTGTGTGTGTATAAACACACACACAATATTGGAAAGTACAGCAGTGTCTATGTAGAATCTGTGTACCAGCCAGGGAGGTATGACCCTTTCATTATTTGCAAAGAGAGCTGCAAGATATGATGTAATTTTGATTGAAAAACTTTGGGTCGGAGAGCAAACAAATGTTGTAAAAGCAAATCTTGCAAAATATTGTTCCTGTAAACTCTTACCCAAGCAGGAGACACTATCCGAAACCCAAGCAAGCCAGAGGAATGTTTTTCTCCTCCATAATTGTAATAAGAAAGATGAAACACTTTCCAGACAGCTGCAAAAATTCTAGGTCAGAGTCTTTGGACTGAATAACATGCACGGTGACTCTGACAGAATCATCAGGCAGCTGATAAGGGATAACAAGTCACTCATGAGAAGAATGGCTGGTATGATGAGCAAGGCAAAGAACCTTAACCTCTGCATAGTTGGGATCCTATAAAAAATGAAGTCTGGAGAACTTCTTTCTTTGAACAGTGGGTTACTGAACAGGATATTTTTTGTTCCCATAGATGCGATTTCTCTTAAAATACTGGCCCCCAAAACCATATTCTAGAAACCAACATCCTGAAGAGGAAGAGTTATTCAGCTGGACAAGCAGTGACTGACTTGCAACCAAATTCTCATGGCTGTCAGAAAAACAGGAATCTGTTAAATTCTAGCTGCCTGCTTCTCCACTTCCATGCCCCGCATGCAGCCCTAAATATCAGTGCAAAGTGGGTGTAAAATGGCAAATCAGAAAGGGCAATATTTTGCACCCACTTTGCACTGATACAAATAACTGTGCAAGTTGCAGGACAATGGAGAATTAAGCTCCATGTGTGCATATTTTACCCTTACTGTCTATTTTCTCCTGGAAAACTAATGGGAGGGCAAAAAAAATCATTTCTGGTAAGTCTGAATCTGATATAAGCAGTAATCCAACAAGCCAATTTTCTGATGACTTTTGCTGTTCACAGTTATGGAATAAATGAAGAATATTCCTAATTCATTCTCTGCTGTGAAACTGCTACAAAAAACTTGGCAATGGTTGGACAGCAGGTGCCATGTGATGGCTGCTTTTCCTGTTATCAGTCTAATTTCATTGTTTCCCTGTGCTCCCCCGTTTGTCTGTTTTATGCATCGTTGGTCTATAATTTTACACATAGACTGCAAGCTCTTTGGGGCAGAGACTGTCTGTTTTATATTTGTATAGCACCTAGCACATTGGGGCTCTGGCCTCTATGCACTACAATAATGCAAATAAATAACATCAGATGTGGGCCAGAATGTCAGAGACGGGTGATCCCAAAGATGGAGAGCGATGCTTGGAAAGACAATTCTGTGCACTTAATTGACACTGAACAGCCAGCTGATTGTTCCTAGTGCAAACACTGCCAATTCCATTCATCTATCCAGTCACATGACTCTTCTATTAAAACGGCGCAATATGTTAATTGTGAATTCCTCTTAACAGGGAAGAAGACCTCTACTGAAGGATCTGGATTAAGAGGATTCAGCGCTATCATGAAGGACAAGGTACTGCTGTAACATTTCAGTCTCAAGTCTGGTACAATATAGTAGGCATATTTAATTGCAGTGGTTAAAGCTGAAATAACCTGTTCTGACTTCATTAGCATGGTGGAGTGTTTTTAAGCTTATTGTGTTCGTGTTTTTGAATGTTTCAACTCTTCTTGCTTATTATCACTGGGGAAAAAACCTACCTTTTACTATTTATAGTTTCACTGTTTAAGTATGCAGACCTTTAAATTACATATACTTACCTATGCAGTGGACATGAATAAATACTCCAAGCCAAATTCCGTGCTGACGTCCACCTATGCAACCCCACTAAAATCAGTGGGGTGGCACAGAGTATAAATCAAGATGGAGCATGACCCTCAGCTGTTAGAACTATGAAGTGGTAAGGCGTGGGTTTGTAATAGTGCTAAGTTTACATCACCATATAATTCATAAGTAAAGGTGTAATAATTGTAACTGCTTTTATCAGACTTTGCCAAAAGTAGCTAATGCAGTAACCCCTTTTTGAAGAGACAAAAACATGGTATTTTTTCAAAACCCTATGACTCAAATGACTTGGCTGAGTAGCTTCAGACTTTCTCCAAAGTAATTTTGGGCCTAAGATTAAGCATGAGTTACCTTGCCAAAAGTTGTCTCCCTGGGAAAATCAGGAAGAGTTAAAAATAGGGCTTAGTATGGAATGGAAAACTTAACATTATGGCTGTGACTCCATGAAAAAGGTATCAGGGTAGAGACGGACCTGGAGCACCATGCATACATAAGCCCAATAACCATATATGCTGTATTCTTCACCGAACAATGTGGATGTTCTTTTCTCTAGTGTTAATCCCAGCAAATCCTATACTGTCGCTGTAAGTAGATTCTGGCCAGAGATGACGTCACTCCTAAATATATGGCTTTCATGGTGGTCGTTATCAGGAATCAAGCTGAAAAACTGGAGAGAACAAACTGAAACCAGGAAAGGAACAGACATGAAGTCTGGAAAAAAATGTGGAGTGTAATTAACACGTGGAATGGCGCCAATAGAATTTGCTGCAATAAACAAATGCAAAGAGGGTTGGCCACTGACAAGATACATTACTGTGTGCAAAGATTTTATAATCAGGTGAATGAATGTAGATGGGTCACATAGCCTTTTCCTGGCCACAAATGTTACATGGCTATTTACTTGGACTTTTGATAAGGGATAACAAGTTTAAACTCACTTATCAATCAATAAAACATTTAGGTGCTGAAAAATCAAATTTTGCATATACAGCCCTCCTTAGGAACTTCTACCAATAATATAAAGAAATGGAAATAATTGGAGTCCAAAATGTTATGTCGCACCCTTCTGGGAGAAGCACGTTTTAACCCTTGCATGCCTGGTAAACTATGCTTGTCACTGTATGAGGAGGTGGAGACATTTGGGGGGGGAGGGTTTTGTACCCTCCCCTATGGAGAATGGTACAATTGTAAATGTCCCAATTGGTGTGCAGTGATTTAGGAGAGGTGTGGAGGTTTAGAGGTCACTGGGTAAATTGCTAACACTAGAAAGTACACAGGGCATGGATTTAGAATAATATTCTGCATATTTTAGCTGAAATAAGTGCAATTCTAATATAGATTTTTTATAATTATAATTATGGAAAACTGAATCTTCTAGCATATTTAACTCTGCTATTTTGCACTCCGTTATACCACTGCTACAGTACAATTTGATGTCCATTTTTGTTATTTTAAAAAAAGAGGCAAATGTAATTTACTGTCAATTTTAATATCTGGGAGATACAAACAGAGGAAACATTTTATATCTGGGCAATAAATGGTTTACTAGCATGCGCGTAAAAGTGATCTTATGATCAGTAGTCAGTTGAAACAAGTTATTAAGATGAAAGGTCTTTAGGTTAAAGTTAAATGCTTAATAGGACTTCCTACTCTCTTCTTGTTACCATCAAATTCATATTTATTTTATTAGGATAGTTCAAGTGTTTTCCATTCAGTGTATTATTCCTGTCTCGTCTATTTCTGCTTAGTACATTTATTCTAATTAATTCCTAGTCCCTTCCCTCCTTCTAATACAATCTTTGGGTTTGCAGAAGGCTGCAGTCTTCATCATCCAACCTTCTTTGCCTGCTATTCTCATCAAAAAGAAGTGTGATCTCATCAAGAAGGTCAAATTCCAGATCTTACCCATTCTGTTTTAGTTAATTCCCAATCCCCTCCCCCGACAAGGGATCTAAATGATACATGAGCCCTGCTAACTGGAGCCACCGTGCTAGCCTATTTCTGTCCTTTCTGGCTATTCCTTTGGCTTTTAAAACCTGGGCAGATATTATTCAAAGGAGGTTTGGAATATCCTTTATTAAGTCAGTTAGGTTCCCTTCATGAAATGTATAGAGCTGCACTAGTCAGTGGAAATTCATGTTGGTGCTGGCAGAAGGCTGCAGCTCATCAAGATTAGTGGATGATGCATTTAAACAGGACTGGAAGGAAGGCAGGGGGGAGAGAAAGCCCTTATTGCTTGATAAGTATCAGAATGTGACTAAGACTGGATGGCTTCAGGACATCTTATTTCACTTGTCTTGGAGAACAGCTCCAGGAACATACAGAGCCAGGCTTATATTGTCTGAAGTTTCAATTTTTCGTGATTAATATTTCTTCTAGAATAAATGTATCCAGCACCACACTGGAGACGTTAGGCACATGGGAATTCTTCCCTTTATCAAATCATTTAATGGACTTATGCTGCAAGATTGTCCTTTAGTGAGGTTACACAATCATGTTGGGCACAACAGTGTTTATACAAGAGCCAGGATATGGAGCTTAATCACAACTCAGGTCCAGCACAATCCCACCACACAGTCCCCTGCCACTTGCGCTAACAGAGTCGCTGATAGCAATTGTAGGTTGTCACCCTCTATGTGGACCAGCACTAAAGGGGGATGAGACATTCACTTTTCCAGTGAGTTCCACAGCTATTTGCTGACAGCAGAGGAATGGTGAGATTAATGAATCTTGGGTTCCATTCCCTGCTCTGGAAGAAAAGTGTCCTTTAATGGGCATAGACCCTTCTGACCTTAGCCCAAATTTAACCCCTTAGGCCCATCCCCTCCAATATGTTGCAGTCCCAGTTCTGTCTCTTCCCTATCTCTGACTCCTTGTCCCAGTCCCATTCTCCTTACCTAGGCTGTCCCAATCTGCATTCCTCAGGTGTTTCATTCCAGTCTCATTGCTCAGTCAGTCCCAGTTCCACCTTCCCCCTCCCAGTTCCTCACCTGATCTGTCGTCTCTCCACTACTAGCCTCCAGTCACCACCTCTGCCCACTGATTGTTCCCTATCCCCACTTTCTCCCAGTCCCAATTTCCTTCTCCAGGCTCCTCCTCCAATCTGTCTTTTTCCCCAGCCTCTTCTCGGCTCCTTGTCCCAGTATCTTTACCCAGTCAATGCCAACTCTTCCTCCACACTGTGGCTTCTCACCAGATTTGTCTCCCCTTCCTCAAACTCCTTCACCACATCCCACTGGTCTCCAGTCCCAGTCTCCTTGCCCAATCTGAGTCTTCCCCATCCCACCAATTGGCTCCAGTCCCTCCCTCATTTCCCTTCCTGGCTCCCAGGCTTGTTACCCAACCAATTCTACTCTTCTCTGCCTCTCCCTAGCCCCTAATCTTATTGCACAGTCAGTCCCATTTTCCCACCCCCTACCAGCCTCCAGTCCCAGGCCCCACTTACCAGAATCCTTGTCCCACTTTATTCCCCACAATTTCCAGTATGGATCTTGCCCCCTCTTCATTTGAATCAGCAGCTTCCACCTCCATGCTGCCTGGGACTAGTGGGGTGGGGGGAGGGTGAGAGGGTAGGATCATTGAAAACACAAGAGAGATAGGATCCCAGTCAGTTCCAGTGCCTGTTCCTGCCACAGTCTGTAGCAGCCCAGACTGTAATTGCAGAGAAAGTCCTCCACCAGGCAGCAGCATGCCTGATGTTGATGGGCTCTTTTTAGATTTTAGCTGTGAAGATCTAGCAAGCCTCTACTGAGCATGTGCAAACTGCAAGTTTTCAAAGTCTTATAATGTGGGCAAATTTTCACAGGAACAGCGAAAGAAACCTGAGGCAAAGGCCACCCCCTTTGCCAAATTTCAAGCCTCTACTCCAAAGAATGGGGGTGCTGGAGCTTCACAAAGAAAACATCACCAGAGTTATTTAACATTGGCAAATCAACATATTTTCCCTAGCCTCGTTCTCAGAAATGGGTGAATTGTTTTTCAAACACAATTGAGCCTGAGACAGACACCTGGCTTGGAAAATTTCAACTCACAAGGGTAATATTTTGCAAAGTTATAAGCTGCTGAAAACAGGGACTTATCATGGAAAGTGTAGGCAACCTTAACACACATTACCAGCCCTGCCTATAAAACGTGTGTGTCTGTACATATGCATAAACACACAAAATGTAAAATATCATGTCTTCAAAATTAAAGTACATTCCATTTTTCTATACTGTCCTTCTCCTAAATTTTGTACTGGCTGGTAAACGTAGGTGGTCTAAGGGTTCAGAATATTCTAGAAAGGGATGTGTAATGTGATACTTTGGAAAGTGTGGATAAATACAGTTGCTTAACAAAATACTTTGGTTTTTAAACTAAGAAATGTTTTTCTCCTTTCAGTATACAAGGACTTGCATATAGCATTCTAGTACAAGTGAGAGCTTCTGACAGCTGTTTGCCAGTGCTCAAAATTCTTTCAAACAAGCCCCTTCAAGCTTAGCTCACTGCTCTCCATAACCATTAGCTACTGCTGCCATACATCACTCACCACTGACTAATCAGCCAATTGAAATGAGTGCAAAGGAGCTGCAGACAGTAATAAGTTTTAGAAGAACAATAACACTAGGAACGTCACTAAAGGACAATCTTGCAGCATAACATCCATTAACGTAACTGAAGTCAGTGGGGATTCTACCTGTGTAAGGTCTGAAGGCATGCAGTCATCACATGGAATATTACTGTATTGGAAT